TTTGACACAATCCTGCATGCGCGGAAAAACTTGCGAGTTGAGTCTTTATATATATACTGTCGTTAGATTATATATATATATATATAGTATACATATAAGTAGTTATATACTGTATATATAAGACCCCCTACTCTGCAACATCAAGAATCTTGGGGTTTCTGCCGTTTACTCCTGAAACCCAATGTAAATCCCAACAGCTGGTTCCCAAAGACCCCTCCAACTTGGGCCCACCAGGTAGGCCCAAGTTGGGTCTCGTCACTGCTCGGTGACTTCACAGCTGAGAGGGTGACTTTGATCCCGCAGAATTCTGCATGCAGAGAAGCTACAAACCCACATCCATCCACACCCCACCGTTGGAATCACAAGGACCTGGTTACAGGAACAAGGACTCACAAAAAAAAAACATGACACCCTCAATCAAAACCATGTTTTCTCAAGACTTTGTGGTTTCTGATGCTTCTTGAGTCTGTTGACTTCTCTTGAGGACGCACTGAAGTGGCTCACTTTCCTGGACTCGCTCGGTGGCTTGGGCGGTGATGCTTGCGCCTCGGCACCATGGCCCTGGCAGGTCGACGGGTTCCAACTCCTCTTTTTTAGGGGTCGGAACGCCTGGGAAGTCGTTTCTCCCAATTTCAATGTACACCATGTACACCCACCAGTGATGTGATCCAGGATATTTTTTGTGGAGACTTACAAGGTGTATGCTCCACCAGAGTGATGCACCTGCAAAAAGAGAAGCATCAGGTTTGAAGCCCGACCTGAACGATCCAGAAGGGTGGGTGCCCAATGGATGATAATGGATGGTCGAGGGAAATGGAGAGCTATTTGGGGTTTAGTTGACTGCAGTCACAGCATTTTGCCGTTTTTTTTTTGCACAGGCATTGGATGTTCGACTACTTGGAGTTGGCAGCGCCAGGAGACAGTAACCACCTTTTGGGCGACTGATGCGAGTTGCTCAGAGGAATTCCACCGGCTTTGATAATGTTGACGTTGACTTTTCGTCAGGATAGGTGTAGGCTGCAGATGGGTCAACACATGTTAAAGTCAAAGTGGGAAGACAAAACTGCCAATGATTCGGGGTACCAATTTCGGCTTGGGGGGTATCCGTGGGACACTTTTAGATTCCTCCATGCCACCATCAATGGCCCATGGCGCCCTTGCCCTCACTGCCTCGTCATCACGGTAGGTGTGAACCACCTTTCCCACTGCCTCAGCCAGCCAAAAGCCGCCAAAACAGCGCGCCTGATCAAAGCACCGCACCGTGCGCGCAGGAGCAGATGGTCTCGTTTGCAGCGACAGAGCCCAACATCAGGGTCCAGAAGCCGCATTTGGTCCAGGCAGGAGCCGTGCAGGTTTGCATGCGTGAAGCGATGGTCGTCACATGGAGGATAGGGTGCCGACTGGAGGAAGTGGAGGTGCCCATTATTATCCACTCACTGGATGGGAAACAAAAACACACTTGTGCGACTCCTGGAAGTGGACAATTCATGAAAATTCCATGCTTCGCCCTAAAGCGTCCCCTGCTCGTACGGAGAAGAGATTTCCAAGCGGACCATTTTTTGGAGCAACGGGTCAAAAGTCACCCCGGCCGTGAGAAGAAGAAACCCTCTACTGTATCCAGTTCAGGCAGTTTGCTCTTCGTGTTAGTTGGTGTTGCTGATGCTTTCGGAAGTTGATGACCTTCGAGAACACCATGCGTCCCGTCCCAGCGTTCAGTCAAATTCATCAGGGTGACGCCACACCCCAGCAGGCTAGGCTCAAGCAGCACAGTGCTGCGGTTTTGCCAAGTGTCCCAGCCACTGATCCGCATGTCGCGCTTCGATATCAGCAAAATTCTCCAACGGGCGGCGCAGACCGGCCCAGTCGTTGCCGGTGCTGCCGCCTTGGCGGGAGCAGGCTATTTGGCAACCAATGCCCTGTACACAGCTCCCTGGGCAGCAGCGTCGGAGCGTGGAACCTTCTTTGAAGAGCTCATTGCTCATCTCTGAACAGTTCGTCAGTTGGTGGAGTTCAGGTTCCGTTCATTTATATACTGTGGTTGTTCGGACCAGGTTCGATCAAGAGGCTGTTGATTTGTTTGATGTTTGTAAGTGCTTTTAACTAGTAGGAGCTGAATGTTGACCATTTGGATTCATTTGTGAACCTATCACAGGGTTGACCAACATATTAACATGTTCCTGATGCTTGCAGTTGTACCTTCACTTTTGCACCCTAAGTCAACCAAGAAGAAAGAACGTCAATACGGCGCCCTGAATGCATGTTGAAACCAGGAATTCCAGAAGTTGCGTGGTTTGAACCCCATCCAGGATGAGTTTGCAGACCCACGCCCATGCCCATTCATCTCAATTCATCTGGCCTTCGTGGGGTCCAACTGATCCAACGACATCTTCAGGTCGTTGAACGCCTCCCCTGGCACCGATATACGTCTCGTTCCTTTCGAAGCTTTTGGTGATCCCATGGGCCTGCTCGAAACACTCCCACACGCAGCGCCCAGGTGGATGCCGGCCACATGTCCTTGAAGTACAGTCGCTTATCGGGTGTCGGGACCACCACCTTTCGCCACTGGGCTACAGTTGGCCGTCGACCGGTGCCGCGGTGCCAACCGAAGCTGGTTCGGTGCTGGTGGGTGCCACGGGGGGTCTCACTGCCTTGGGTAAAATAGGGTTGATTGTCCCGAACTGGGCGAACCCCTTTCTAATCCCAGACACTCCATGTATGCCGTATATGCCTACATTGGGGTGGTTTTGGGGGTCAATGTAGGCATATATGGCATACATGGAGTGTATGGGAATTTCCTGTGGGAGCCGCAAATCCCAGTGAAAGACTTATGGAAAACAATCCTTTCCTTCATGCACACCAAAGCTTTGAAAAGGGACCATATTAGTTGCAGGGGGGTAGAGTGTCAGTGTGGGATTTGTTTTACCTGTGAATGAACTCATGAAAGGATAATTGCACGTGATTCTTACAAATTCAGCTAGACTTGACCAGACGACTTCCCTACCTTTCATCCATTTCCATCCACGTCCCCCCGGACCCCTGTCAAGTTTTTTGTCGCCGAACTGAGTGAAAGCACCAAACCTGGGGAACCTTGAATTCTTTCTCCAGGAAAATCCTACAGCAAATCCTCCTAACCATAGGAAAACCTCGAGTGCCGCGGGTGGTTGATCCAGGGGTCTTCCTTGAGTCATCCCTAAGGAGAGGGCGTGCACTTCTTGGTGCCCTGGCTGGAGAGGCCCATCATCTTCGATGTCCGTGCGAGGCCTCATACCATGACCTCTTTGACGGGAAGTCGCGATTTGCAGATGGTCAACATCTCCTTGAGACCTGGATCGGAGAAAGCTGAGAGAACCAGTGTGTGGACCCCGCAATGTTGCGTCCAGTCCAGTTGGTGTTGGATGTCAATAGGGAAGGGGGGGCGTTTGTGTGTGTGTGTTCATTCAGCTGGTGTCACACCTGAATGAATCTTCAATATATTCCTCCTTGGGCTCGGGATGGATGATGTTTGATTGGGGTGATGCCTCTCCTGCACATCCTAAGGAGAGCCTTGTGCAAGCCAGATTCTACCAAGCTTCCGACCATCTACAGGAGCCTGCGTGGGACGGGCGGTCCGACTCGAAGGGACTGCCCACAGCACTTCAGCTCCAGTAAGTAGCCAGCTATTCGTAGGCAGCCATTTAGCAATCCACACGGGTCCCGTTCGCTCAAACCCATCACCGAAGCATGTGGTAGCTTTTTTTCTTGAGAACTGCGCACAGATGAGGCGTTGATGGTGTTTTTTTTCTGTCTCACCCTAAGAATCCGGGCCCTCAAACACATAGGGTTTTGAGGGCCCAGACCCCTGCCATTGAGGGTCCGACCCCTGCCATGGAGAGCCCAAGGATTCTTAGGGCACGAGGAAAAAAGCACTCGGAAAACTGCGTGCAGGACTCTTGGATTGGACTTTGATGAGAAAGTCCTGCCGTCCATCATCAACGAAGTGTTGAAGAGCGTGGTGGCACAGTACAATGCGTCTCAGTTGATCACTCAGCGTGAGCTGGTGAGTAGGATGATCCGGCAACGCCTCATTGAAAGAGCCTCGGAATTTGGCATCGTGCAGCTTGGAATGCTGAGCAGGCAGTGTTTTTGCTTAGGTGTGTTTTACTGGAGGTAGGATATAAATTTTTCAACATAAAACAGTCTTGCATGTTTATCTAAATATCCAAGTCATACCACATATATCAGGACAGCCTACGGGCCGGCTTCTAGACCAAACGAGTCTTCTTTTGCTTGGAGCAAATCCAGAGAAGAGAGACGATTTGGCATCTACTTGGGATTTCGGTCGTTATATAACGCAGGAACGGCTGCTGTCGTTCAGTCACGGCTGGCTACCCGATGTTTGAGGCTTGACGATGTGGCTATCACCCACTTGAACTTCAGCCCCGAGTACGAGAAGGCGGTGGAGCAGAAACAGGTGGCCCAACAGCAGGCCGAGCGAGCGCGATACTTGGTCTTGAAAGCACAGGAAGAGAAGAAGAGGACCATCATCTATGCGGAAGGTGCGGGACTCGGGGCTGAGTGGATGAGCGCCTCCTGGGCCTCCTGGGCATCAAGGGCGGGCTTGGATCCGAGTTGACTCTTTGAGCCATACGAGTGATCTGCGGGTTCGATTGCGAGTTTGAACCTTTTTGTAGGTCAGTATGTGGCATGCTGTTGTACCCAGACACTTCATGTATGGCATATTTGTACCTACATTCAGCTCTTAAACCACTTCAATGTAGGCAACTATGGAATGCATGGAGTGTTTGGGGTATGAAAAGCTGCGGCTGCGGCTTTTGGGTTTGTGTCACTTGTAAGGAACCCCCTTCCTGTGACCTTTTCAGGAACTCCATCACCTCGAACTCCGCTTCCACTGGTCTTCTTTAGACGAACCTGGTGTTCCGTCTCGTTTCTTTTCCCGGTGCTTCTGGAGCTTAACGCGCTGCCTGGCTGGCCGTTCGCCACACAGGCGAGAAGGAGTCAGCCCGGATGATCGGTGATGCCATCAAGGCGAACCCCGGATTCGTCGAGCTTCGAAAGATCTCGGCGCCTCGGCACCTGGCCATGCCACCTGAGCCGGGTCGGTGACCCGAAAGTCTTGAAGAAGGGTCAAGGCGTTCGTAAGGTCCTTTAAAGCGCCTGGTGGCTTTTGGCGGTTTTTATAAATGATATTGGGGTGATTCATGTTGATTTCTACTTTCACCAGCGGGTGAACCTTGTGGGGAACAAATATATCCCAGACATTCCCAGACACAACCCATGGGACTGGCATATTTGCCTACGTTGGGGTGTTTTCAGGGGTCAATGTAGGCATATAGTATATACTCCATACATGGAGTGTTTGGGTATGTTTTTTTTCTGGGTGGATCCTTAAGCAACGCCAAGCACAGGAGTGGCATATTGACCTCTATGTGGGTGGTTGAAAAGAGGTCAATGTTACATCAAGCTCACACATGAAGTGTTTGGGTGTTTGTATTTTGTGGGATTTTATAGAGACTCTTGATAAACAACTTTGATAGGCAAAATCAAGGATCTACTGAATAGTATATAACTTTGCCGTGAGGTGTCCTGATAATCCCCTGGCAGATACCTATATATTGATTTGTCCAGATTCCTGGCAATGTGGTCCCCAAACAGTAACACATGACTTTGTATATATGCATGCCTATATAGGCACCTTTTGGAGTGCCGATATTGGTTTGGATTCGGCCTAGCTAATGCCAGTCTACCTTAGCAGGAGGAAAGATGTTTTGTTTGAATGCGCGGCTCCTGACAGCAAGTCCAAGGTTGCCAAAGAAATTTCGAATTTGCTGGCAAAGTCAGCCAACAGGATGGTACTGAACACAGAGGGGCTTCTCATGAATCTTGGTGTCGAGAATGAGGGGCTGGGGAAGAAGAAGTGAGCCAGTGTCAATTGGCCGGCGTGCTTTTCAAGCATGAGTACAGTTTCGCTGCAAGCGATCAAAACAAGAGCTGCTTGATCAAGACAAGAGCGTCAGATTTGCCGCGCAGATGTGATGATTTACCTCGAGAGCATACACCATGCACCAGAAATGCCCGCCACAGTCCCTACATCCGAGTTGATGTGAACCTTCGCACCAAATCCAGCTACAAGTTGATGATAGTTGAGGTTCCACCAGCTAATTCTGCCGATCTCCAGTCCAACCCACCTCCTCCTGGTAGTCTATTCTGATCTATTTCTGTTCCTATTCGGTGATCCACCAGGAACCTCCCCCCGCTCGCCACGCTTCGCCACGCTTCGCCACGCTCGGCGCTTTTCAGGTGCTCCTTCCCTTGGATCCTTGGAGAGGACCGTGGAGTTCGATGCGCGTGGTTGACTCACTGGTTCGAAGGGACGACGTGGAGGTCAACCTACGACGGGTGGCTTTGGAACCCACAGCGTCGACGTCGTCCCTCAACCTTTGAAGTATTGGTGGCATGTTGGTGGCATTTTTGGTTGGCCGTTTACCAGGCTACCATTAAGTATATATGTTACCACGGTATGCCCCCGCATACTCAAAAAGACATCCCGTTCTGAAGGCACTTCAGGTTGGCAGGCCATTATAGTATATTATAGTTTAGCTTGGAATGATGCAGGCGTACACAGGAGCCACACACCTCCCGTCCTCCACGGCCTCGCCGTTTCGCCCCGGTTCGCAGTGCCGATCGGTCCGCCTCTTCGGGTGACCGACCGCTGGGGCCTTCTCGGGTGACCGCCGTGGACGGGGTGCCGCCGGCGCCGCTGACCCGCTCCCCGAGGAAACGTGGCTCATGAAGTCCTGTCCCCTCACCGGTCCGCCGAGTCCGGAGCAGTGGGCCGAAGCCGCAGTTCGTCCGAGTGGAGCAGACGGAGCGGTCGATGGCGTCGAGCTGGAACTCTTGGAGCATGGGGCGGAATGGGAAGCCACTTAGCAATGCAGTCATGATTGGAACCTGGATTTTGGAACCTAAAGATTGACCGCGTGGTTTGGTTCCACCCATGTTCCACCCACTTTTCTTCATCAGTCTTGTAGTGTTGATGAGCCAGTTCATGTCAGGAAAGCATCTGAAGTGCACAGTTCACACTATAATCATCTATATAACTCAATACGTATGCTCAGACACTCCATGTATAGAATTCAAACATAACGCCTACTTTGACCCCCTGAAACTGACTCCCCAAACCGGCAAAAACAGGTGTATCACGGCAAAATAATGGTAAAGCACCTGACTAAACTGGGCGCAGGAAACCCCCGGTTTCCTGCCCCAGGCGATCCGCAACAGTGACATTGTTTGGTACCCAAAAGCGCTGGTTTCCTCCCTCGTAATCCACTAGGATCCACTCGACGGGTTATGACATTTTGCATTTTTAGCTTTGGCACTGAAAAGAATCAAAACACACTTCTTATGGGTTTTAAGTAAAAAACAACTAAACTTAAACCACTCGTTGAATCTATTGAGGGATGCATCAACAACTTTCAAGCTTGATGGTTGTCGTCAGTGACTGTGGCTGGGGATTTCTGGTATATCGGTATATCTGTAAACTGTAGCCGGAGCCTATGATTTTGCATTGATTTACATGATAGATGGGTAGAAAATAGTAGAACCATCAGGTGGCAACCTGAAGGACTGGAGAAGCAAGTCCTTTTTCGATCTGGTTCATTACAGGCTTTTTTGCAAGGGAGTGGGTTGAGTAGATTTGAGATGTGTGTCACGTGTCGCCCGCCCTTACTGCGTGCACTGCAGAGCTTTTTGTGAGAGGGTAGTGGAAGACTTCATAAGTCGATGAAATCAATAGCTTTTGTAAATAAGTCCATGAATGTTGCCTTAAAGGCTTGAGTAGCTTTTTGCCAATTATACACTTCCCAAACTGCTTCAAGGCTTTCTCTAAGCTATCACTGCAATATCAATATCTTTCTGCAAGAAGTTGAAACGCTTCAGTGCAATTAAAACTAAAACGGGCCCGACGTAGCTTCACTTCGATTGAAGACGTGGAAGGCCTGCTCGGGTGGCGTGAGAAGTGAGAAGGGCTGGTCCAGAGTCCAGGTTTTATTTTTATGTTTAAAACATATAGTTTATGGAACTGATTTTTCAAGAAGGTTTACTATTTCGGATTCCTTCCGAAGCTTCCCTCAGAATAGCTGGAGTTCAACAGTTTTGTCAGGTGATGGCGTTGGTATGTATGTTTGAGAAGGTAGCGTTTGTGACTTGAGCGGGCTTCACCGATACCCCTACCGATACCCTATTCTTCAGTTCTGGTGGCCCGGCTGAACAGCCCCCCAATTGAACTACTACTACTGCTACTGCTACTGCTATTACTACTACTGCTATGACTACTACTACTACTACTACTACTACTACTACTACTACCTACTACTTACTACTTACTACTTACTACTTACTACTTACTACTTACTACTTACTACTACTTACTACTACTTACTACGTAGTACTTACTACTTAGTACTTAGTATTTACTACTTACTACTTACTACTTACTTCTACTACTACCACTACTACTACTACCACTACTACTACCACTACCACTACTACTACTACCACTACCACTACGACTACTACGACTACCACTACCACTACCACTACCACTACCACTACTACTACTACTACTGCTAGTACTACTACTACTACTACCACTACTACTACTACTACTACTACTACTAGTACTACTACCACTACGACTACTACTACTACTACTACTACTGGCACTAGTACTCTCACTAGTTTTTTCTTCTATTACTACTACTACCACTACCACTACTACTACTACTACGACGACTACGACGACTACTACTACCACTACCACTACCACTACCACTACTACTACTACTACTACTACTACTACTACTTTTACTACTACTACTCGTGGATACTACTACGAGTTTATCCGCCACTCATATATGAACACTTGAGACCGATAGGTTACCACCCAAAACATGTCAAGAGATGCCAAAACCTGAAAACCGATGGGGGCCCACCCAAATTAGCAACGACCATTGCCGGTAGTAAGTACTATTGACCGAAACTCATATGAAGCAATCATTGGTTGGATTAGGGCTGGATGCACCATGCTGGCTAAGCAGTGCTTTTTACTGCTCCCATAGCGATGCCAACCAATTTTCGGCTTTGGGGTGTTTCAGTTTCCTCTGCCGCTAAAGCGCTAAAGGCATGGAAGCGCATGGTCACTGTGCTTGATGGACCTTGTGGAGACTACTTAGCTGAATCCAGGTGATGTAATTTTCAGAGTATCCTGACAAAACGTGAAATGACGAAAAGCCAACATTTTAAGAAACACCAACATCTTAATTACGAAAAGGAACTTGTTTGCAGGCCTCGATTGTTTGAATTTTTTGTGAGTGTTGTTTATTGTCAAAACAAGAGCAGGAAGAACCGGAACAACTACAACAACGACAAGACAAGAACAACAGCAACAACTGCAAGACAACATTGACAACGACAAGAACACTTCAATAACATGTTTGTTGGTCTTGAGCATGGGATGTGAGTCTGCTGTTTGCGGATGAGAGGTGCCGTCGGAAGGTCTCTGGTGGGGTGAAGTGGGGCTGCATTGTTTTTTCAGTTAGTGGTTGCTTTTTGACCACAGAATTTGCTCTTTGCTCATGGGCCGTTCTCCAACTGACACTGTGGGCGCATGTTTTGTGGGTTTTAAGAAACATTGTTTCTTTCTTATGCTCCCCGTACTTTCAGTCGCATGGCGGGGCCAGACCAAGTTTAATGGAGCACCTGCTGATTGTGGGTCCATTCTTCACAGGCAATTCAAACAAGGCACAATTTATTCCAAAGTATTTGCGCTCCAAACGGAAGCATCGACACCATAACAATTCCTCAATTGTTGACACAGTCCCAGCTTGTATTTAAACCCACACACACACATTGGAAGACTCAGCAGCCTCTGATCGGCAATTTGTTCGGCAGGCAACCGCAGATGGCTCTTCGCGGTTTTGTGTGAAACAGGGCTGACAAGGCCTGAGGGTGCGTTTGATCGTTCGGGTTTCCGCAGGCAGCATTATTCCACTATACCGCTGCGACATTGGGAAATGAATGACACGAAAGGTCAAGTTGTCAGTTCTGGTTATATGATTTGAAGCTACGGACCCACTGATTTTTGAACGACATAGACCGAAGAGCATACATGTTGACCCTTTCTGCTCGAAAGCTTGGCTCACACTTACAGCGTGAGGTGAGTGACTAGCACACTTTCAAGACAACTGTCTTTAAAATAGTCCTTTTGAGTCTGCAGACACCATGCTTCTTTTGTTGTCAGCTTCAGCATTTGTTTCCAAATGCCATGGACCTTGTAATTGGCATCTATTGTGAAGCAACTGAAGAATCATTTCAATTATCCTTGGTCCGATTCCCGGCGGAACATCGAACCCTGGCATTACTTGTGCTGCGTATCCTCGCCTCCCTTTTTGACATCCTGAGCTCACGAACTTTCACTACTTTTTTCTGGGTGGAGGAGCTGCGTCTGGATACTTTAGACGGTTCAACGATTAGGGAACGAACCTTTAGACGTCGGCCTTGAAAGCTGCTTGAACGGATGAACCGTCCGGAGTACTTGCCAGAGATTTCTCCTGATGATCCAATTATTGAAGCTAACTTCTTGGAAGACCTGTGGAAGAATCTCGACGTGCTGCAAAGATCTCTCTGTCCACATGCCGATCACAGACTGGACGATTGTTGCGTCTGTGGCTTTCATTGGATTTGCAAAGCTGTTCTGGCTTTGGAATCTCATGAGATTCCCCCCCACATCTTCGAATTTTTGGGGGCCATCCGCGCAACTGCGCAAGATGCGCACAAGTCTCCGACGAGCAGAGCAGTAGCGGCGCTGACCCTTCTGCCTCCAAGAGGGTGCAGAACAAAGAGCTAGAACCTTTTGTTCTTTGTTCATTGGTGAGAAGCATCCTGGGTGCCAACGTGGATGAGAAGGGCCTGAAAGCTCTACGTGACAACTTCAACAGAAGCTGCGCTCAGATCAAACTTGAAGGCTCCAATAAGCTCCTCTCAGAGAGCAGTTGTCCTCCTCACATTTACCAGCTCCTCCACAAGGACGTCGGTCAACATGCCTTCTGGACCGTTCACTTTGGGGGGCGTGGCCTCTGGCAGATTTTGGAGAGGCGGAGTAGTGATTTTGCTGCGTTGGCAATATGTTGATATTGTGTGTTTACATGTTCTTTTTCAAAGCCTGAGGGGCAAATTGTTTTGGGTTTCATAGCAGGTTGTTCGATTGTGGAATCGGCGTGTCAGATTGTGTTTGGCTTGGCATAATCATAGCCTGTTGCAAACCATTACACACAGACAGCCTTTCCTGCAGACATAGAAACCTTGGTTCATTTGCCGACCATGTATTTGGAACCTATGCCTTTACCTTATGACGACCCTTGATGCTTTTGCGCGCTCCTTCTTACTTCTTCTGGCCTATCTCCTTCACAGAATTTGATTTATGCCACATTTGAGGTATTCCATCTTACTTGCCAGCCCCTCCTGCATGTTGGCGTCTCTTCTTCAGCTCTCTCACATTGCTCTTGCTGATATTCTCGAAGCCTTAGTGCTGCTTTTGACCTGTGTATGCTCAAGTATGTTCAGATTGAGAGGGTATGCAATTCTGCTTCTTTGATGTGAGTAGAACACATATGAAACAGTAAACGCTATATTTTCAATACAGCAGCCGCAGCCCTGGCAGGTGGAGAAAGCAGCGGACTTTTTTTCGGCCTGGATACCAGCAGTCAAGAGCTTTCTGGTCCTGCGCAGCTGAACGTTGCAGGGCAGATCTCTTTTGGATCTCAGGTCCGTGCAGCTTCTGAAGCAAGAGCATGAGAACTACGTCCGGTGGTTCAGTGACATAAGCTCAGAGAATTTCAGCCCACGAGGTGGAAAAGACCAAA